TCGGACTTGATGATTTGCTCAGGTCCCTTCCGACCCTACTATGAAACTATGAGATGCTTGCTATGCAGTGGCCTAATAGCACTGTGCAGTAGCATGCCAGTCAAAAACTGTGCTAATATACTACTCAGAGGTCTTACTGGGCTACTGTGCAGTGTCACAAAAAAAAAACCCCCATGCACCAACACTACTGAGCAATAACTGTAGTTACTTCACATTTAGTTAGTGCTTCATTAAGTGAGTACTAAATTGAATGCGCAACTACTGTGCATTAAGGAATATGTAGACATGCCCACACAGTAGCAATAGGTTGAGTAAGTTCAATGTCCCATTGTAATGATTTTGTTCAAGATACCTTGCAGTCGCATTTAAATTGTGGTATTGTCTGCATGCATTTTGAAATTAAAATAGCGTCTTTTTAATTGCCTTATGTCAACAACTGTGAGGGCCAAATAGGAACAGCAAACAAATGATGCCCAGAAGGATTATGGTACCTCCTCACCTGCTGTCTAATTTAACTGTGGCAATCCTAAGGACTGCAAGGTTAATGAAGCACGCAAGGACTTACTTTCCCAGGGCAAAGCATTCCAGTTTCACCGTTGAACCTTTAGCTGCAGGCAGTGTCTCAGGAAACTGAACTTCTATTTTAGGTTCATATTCACCCATCACACCTGTTTATTACAATAAAGGAAAAAGGCCAGTAATTTTTATTGGCACTGCTCTGCCTCCATTTTCAGCATTACATCAAGTTTGGTTCAAAACAGCCACACATCCAATGCACGCTGCTTAAAAAACAGCAACTGAAGAGCCAATGCATGCTTCCCATGGGGAAAAATTCTTTAGGTGTACAGTAGTTTCTAGTCAGCACAAATTGTTTGATTAGTAACTACTATTCTTAATGTGTGCGACATTGCATCATTTGTGACTAACACGTGTTGATCAGCAGCTCTATATGCACAGTTGAAGTTAGCAGTTTTAATGAGAACCACTAGAAGAACAAAGTCCTACCATCAGTGCGCAGCACCAGAGGAGTCGGGGAACCAAGCACCCTGCTGTTCGTTACGGTGCTGGTCACCACGCAGGTGTAATTTCCTACATCTGAGGGCTCCACTTTGGCTATGTAGAGATGCCCCGTCTCTTGGGACACAAATCGTCGACTGTCCTCTTGCACAAACGATGGATATTCATTGAAGATCCATGCAAACGACAGTTCTGAGGTGTGTTAGAAAAAGAAATTGGTAAGCAGGATCATCAAGGCACTAGGTGACTTCTATCATTTCTACAGAACTAAAAGGCTATTATAAAGAGCCTCACAACTTATTGTCCATCACCTCAAATATTTCTATGCCTGGATGTAGGGTAGAGACTTTATAT